TGGCCGCACCCTGACTCTCCACGCTCTGACACTCACACCCTCAATCTGCTTCTGTGAAGGTATTCCCTACACCGTACTACACCCAACGCAGAAACTTGTCCAACTGCCGTTCGTCCCGATCAGGGTCACGCAAATCTCAGTCTGTAAACGACTACTGAATTATAGTTATTTGAGCTCAGGTCAGGCAGTTGGTTACCAAAGGCACGAAAAGCGACAACAACTCCTCACTTCGGATCTGACCCCACTGAAATCAGAAAAGTTGGAAAAACGTCCACGACTGCCGCCAAAGGGAGACAAGTAGGAAACAAATTGGTACCAAATTTATTCATTGGTTAGTAGAGCTATCTGTGCGAAAACCCAAGAAGTTGGACAGAGGAAACCCGGAACAAAAACAAGAAGGAGAGCAGGAACAATAGCAAAGTGTAAAGGGAAGTTTCATACAAGCATTGTTAAAGAAGAAAGACCAGTTAAAGACATTATTGGTGTTGATGGTGATGATGAGGACCAGCAAGGCCCAATTGTCCTCGAGATCACAGCTGAAACTGAATCGAAAAAAGACTTAAATTAATCTAAGGTCAGCTTAGGTTTGTCTCAACAAAGCGGAGATACCACCGTACAGCGCATCCTACGGTATCTATAGCTGAAAGCGGGCGACTACTTTGGCAGGCAATTCAGTCGAGCACCGTAATAATTAATACAGACTGTGTACCGAATAAAACACGGCCAAAAAAGGATAGATGAAATGGCCCTTGTCTTTACCGGTAGTACTGTTTGTCTATACTACCAACTGTTACTGCTGTCAGGGCCTCTGGCGAGACCCAAGGCACAGCGGGACATATGAGTCCCGTTAGTGGTCAGGTGAACGTTCATGAACGGGTATAGGATGCATGCTCTGACTGCGGTCGACCGTGAGTGATCTTGTCTCAACAGAACACAAACGAGGTTTCTACTTCTGAAGGAGGCAACTTGTTTGACCTAGGACACACACATACGAACAGCTAGAGTTTACCTAAAGTCCTGGCGTTAAGATAAAACTTCAATTTTGCATTTTAAAAGGGGAATGAGGCAGGGGGCGCGGAGTATACATACCATTTAGGGCAGCTCGCACAATTTCGTGCATTCCTCCATGCAGGCAGTGTAGTAGGCCTTCTCCTCCGCGGCGAATTGTTTGAAGGTGTCTTTCAAATTTTCCTACACAGAACACGGGGAAAAAGTAATCAAGACCAGCGTTAGAGGGAGGAGGGAGAGCAATGTAGATCATTTTCAGCGGGAGCGGACCCGCACGGGACATGGGCGTGCGAGTGCTTTTCACAAGTAGGCAAGGTGCCGTAAAAACCGACCTTGTTGAAATAAAAACCGACTCAAAATCGATAAGCCGACGACAGCCATGTCCGCTGATCTACCCAGGGCAGCCGATCCGCCTTTGGCTTTAAATTCCGATCAAAAGTGCACGGCTTCCAAAATATAAAGTGACTATTTTGCGTCTTTAGCTAGCCCAAGCCGAAATCGTCGGTCAGAAAGACATACATATCGAGTTAGTTTTTCTTGGTTGTTGAACGTTTACTACCCCTGAGCCAGAAACTCTCACCACATGAGCCTTTATCGATAAAAATCACAGTTCTAGAAATATATATATGGATGTAGAAAGGAAGGAATAGCGAATCCAATGTCCCAGGGGACCCGTAACCAGTTATGTCTGACTGGTACCAGTTAATGAGCTGGGGAAAGTCATCCTACTTAATAAGGCTACTAGTAACGCAGAATCATAGGCAGAGTTTCCCAGAATCAACGAGCAGCTGTCGCTCACAGCCAACGCAAATATTTGGGACCTTCTCCAGCAAGTTGGATAATTCTGAAGATGGCAAAAGCGGATCCGGGCCATCGGGGGTAAAAAAAAGTCACGAAAGGGCCTTTGACGGTCAGATATTGTGAGTGAAAAAGATAAGAACAAGTCAACAGATCCTTCTGAACTACAGGGAACTTCCAATGGGGAAATTAGCCAGCATTCCATGGCATAGGAAAGGAGACCACAACTACTGCAACTGGCCAAAATAGGCGAGGAAAGGGAATTGAACTGCTTCTAAAAAGGGTGTATAAACCGGCTGAAACTATGATTTCTAAGATAATTAATACTCTGGGACCATGTGGTGCCTGTCACCTCCTCAGTATTGGTGGGTCATTAAGAAAAGTACATGTAGAAACATGTAGGTTTTTTCGCTAATTCCTATTAATCGCTCTGTCCAGCATCGAGTATGCTGCCCATGACAATGACACAGAACAAATTTTCAGGACGGCAGGAGAAACAATGACCTCCAGCAGAACATGAGGAGCCGGGCTCAGGATGGTCCTGGCTGATTCGAGCACAGTCGCCTACCGTCAGACAAAACGAGAGTGTGCATTTTAGATGCAGAATGCAAATGCGTACGCGCCTTGGTAACAGTACGCATTTTGACTGCGCCCTAGTTTCCGGCACCGGAATCGCCAATGATCCAGGTAGAATTGGCACAAAATGACAAGGCATAGGGTAAACGGGTGATTTGCGAGTAATGGAGGGCTTTTTAAATCGGCACCGGAATCAGCAGCCTAAAAGTCGGTAAACTAAGCGCAAAGGACGGCAAATAACCTCTACTAATTGCAGTGTACTGACCAGACAGTGCCTCCGCCGACAAGGCGGGCTTGGTAATTTGTGTAACACCTGTACGGTGTCAAAACAGTTACGGACAAGCATTATTCAAAATGTCCTTGAGTTTGTCATGTGAGCAGTCTCGTACGTACAAAGATCTGCAAAACCAAGAAAAGAGGGAAAATGTCTAACCTAATGAATAGACATTTCTCTTGAGCAGACCCTAATTCAGAGAAACTGCAGACACGATTTAAACAAAGAACGTACAAAAGCATCATGTGTCTTCCGTAGCATCGTAGTGGTCTCACCCTGCTCCTTGTTGTAAGTAGCCTGGTATTTCTGTACATCTGCTTCCCACTGTAAGAAAAACAAAAATAGATGGGTCAACTAAAATAGATGGAACAGTTAATATTAGGGAATGTTTATATCGGTGAACAAAGCAGTACATTGAGCATATAGGTGTGCATAAAAAGACGGGGTTTCAGAAACTATCCGGATTATTTTACCTTGGCTTTGTTTTCTTCGGTTTTTGCATTCTTTAGCTTAGTTTTAGCGGAGTCCAAATCCAATCGTGCCTTTTCCATCTCGTCTTTTTGTTTCTATAAGTGTATTAGTAATATAGAAGGTTACTTTGAGTCTTTATATAACTGAATAATAATTTTAATTTGAGCTAGCGTGCAAATAAGTCTCCTTATTACAAGTTCAATGGTCCCGATGAGACGTCAGAAAATAACAGATACTTTCTGAGCATTTATGGTTTTATGTACGCCTAGTGAGAAGGATACTATTATATAAAAGCTTACCAAAGCTTCTGCGAGATCCTCATTTATAAACTCCTTCAGGACATCGAGGAAATTCTTAGTAACGTTGTCGTTGAATGTTTTCTTGGCAGTCGCCATGCGCTCATGTGCTGCGGCCGCTGCAGTAAGGTAGCCGCCTAAACAACAACAAAATTCAAAATTTGTTAAACTTAAGTGGTTTATTTGCGATATTAAGGCATCAAAACTTGTGGCTTGACGCCATTTTCAGGCTTTTTTGAGGTTGCTGTACATCGAGTCTAATTCGACGTGCCTATTGATGCAAGAGTTGTTAGAGTTAACGGGCTCTAATGGCCTGTTGTTGACAAAGAATTATCGATTTTTTCGGTATGTTTAAAATACCCACTGTACTGTACACATTTTTCACACGTCCGACGACGACCTGGCGAGCCAAAGTGGAAAATTCACAATAAAGTTTGGTTACGTTTCCCAAATAACTTCTTCTACTAAATATATCCTAGTTTGCTCACCAAACGCATCGTTTTTGTCCACTAATTCACCGGCTTCAAATTCAATCCCTCTCAATCCCGCAAATGGCTCTCAACTTAACACTGCCACATTGGAATCTGAATATAACGGCCAGTCGGTGACCACTAGTAACCAAAAACCGTTACTTAATTCCACAGTTCTTCTGTTGTACCCTATGCATGCTGCGCAGTCCGGGCCACCAGGTACGTGTTACCTGTTTATGCAGCCCGGCCAGCCAAACATGATGCCTACGGGTATGTCTCCACGGAGCATCACATTTGCTTCCCACAGCTGCTCCGGATTCCAGTGGGATTTCTGTATCTTATGTCAGAATTAATGCATCTAATTACTGGCGGACAGTTTACACTCTATCTTAGCCTTGAACAGCAAGGAAATTTAAAACAAGAACTTATCTGGGTGGACGATTCGACGGCAGATAGGAAGAATTAATATTATAACATGCGTACAAGAGAAACAAGGTAGGATCGACCCGAAGCTGTCGCAGTTCTTCGCCAAAGAGAAGCCGAGAAAGACACGAATGCAACTGCTGCTTAGTCAAGGATCATTTAATTAATTGTATTTGCATTTGTATCGATAAATGCTATTTAGGTACTCTAGAAGAAGAGGAGAAAGATTAGAATCATGACTATGGAGGC